ATTGTACTTCTCTTCTTACAGGAAATACCGACATGTTGGATATCAATGGCTTTCATTTGGTAGGTGCTTAACAGGCTAAAGAAATCTGAAAGAAGGGTCATCCCATCTTGCACTGTGTGGGCGATTAGGGACAAGTTCCCAGAAGCTGTGAAGACTGCCCTGTGTTTTTTGATGCTATAGATGATGAAATAAACTTTGTGTTGGAAGAATTATTTATAAATTGTTATGGAAGATATCTGATAAGTCCATCCTCATTAATGCAACAGATCTTATGTAATTCATGTGACAACTGTGCTCTGTTTTTTTGACAATCTCATCACTCATGAAAGGAAATTTTGTCAGCACAGGTCTAGAGCTTTTGTATATCTGGACCAGTCAATTGTGTGTAACCTTCCAGACCTAGTCTGTAATTGAAATTGTTGCTATTGATGCGGATAGGCCAGCAAAGTTGATTTCAAGAACATTTTGTCGTTAAGTACAGTACAATGTTTTTTGTATCTTCCCCACTCTCGTCTCATATTTTAAAATGTTAAGCTAATACAGTATGAATTAGAATTTTGTGTACAGTAAATAAATGTAACTTGTTCTTCCCTATTCTTTACATTGGTATAAACTAACTATAAATCCATATATATAATATTTTGATAATAAATAGAGTGTGTAAAATGTAGTGAAATATATTGTAATACCTGACTGCTTTATCTATGTACAGTAAAACAATTTTATATTAACTGTGAGAAAATACACTTGTAATAAATTATTTGCAATGTACAAGGATGATAAATTGTTTCAAAATATTTATTTAATAACACCAGTAGTCTTAAATTTACTGTATGTACAACAATAACTAAGTGAAGCACCAAAAATATGGATGTTGAATATCATCATGAAAGAAGAAATCTTGGCTATGGTAAATAATACAAGACAATCAGACATGATAAATAGAGCAGTGCAGTTAAACTTGCCTAAGCCAACTAATAATATACTCTTAATAATTTCTAAGTCGATCTAATTTTTCATGCCGATCTAATTTTACATGCCGAAATGTTGTGTTTTCCATTACCGTAAGTGCAAGTCAAATTTTGTTAGGGTCAAACAATTTCTCAATGGCATTTTGGATATGACATAGGCAAGTTCAACTACTGTATTTTAAAATACTAAACAAAAAATGGTGTACAGCAAAACCATTGAAGCTTTTTCTTAAATTCCAATACCAAATTGATCAGCATGCAGACTAGGCATAATCCAGACATTAAAAAAATAAGCAGTTTCATAGAATAACTTTACACAAGACTGTACAAAGCCATATATTAAAATAGTTGTTCCTGTATATATTGAGCCACATTTTCATACTGTACTATCAACTTCGCACATTACATATTTTAAAATTAATCCTCACAATTTGTTTTCTAAATCTGGGTCACATATTTGCTTCAAAAGGATTACTATTGAATGGGATTATAATACCATTTAATAATATTAAAGATATTTTGCAAGTGAAACAGGTACAGTAATACTGGTACAGTATTTATTTATTTATTATAAATTTGGCATGCAATATAAACCAGATTCGTAAAAAACAAAAACTTAGGTGTGTGGCATTTCAGTATATCTTCAGAAAAAAAAATCACTAGATAAATCATTTTAATTTAATTCTTTGGAAATATTTTGGATTCAATCACTTGCTGCAGAGTTCTGAGCATCGCCACCTTCTGCTAACCATGGATTGGACATGTCCATTTCATCATGTCCACACAGATGGAATTGTTTGCATCACATCCATCTGATCCAGTCATTTGCTCCTATTGAGGAATATATACAGTCTGTCTCTTATACACATCTAGATGTGTATGTTATCAAACATTGGCATTTGCTGCTTTATCAATAACATACCATACTGAGATACTGTATGTACTAATCTGAAAAGACATTCATCAATTGACAGTATTTTCAGATTTTTTAATTACTTGATTGAAGCCATCCTGTCGGCTAGTGTGTAATGTATTATTGTTGTTTCTTAATAAAACTGACACACCATGCTGATATTTTTTTACCATTCCAATATATTTGTTTCATGTACTCTTGCTGAACAGTGATGAGATATTCACTTAATTTTCTTTTGCTCACCTTAAATTGTGTGTATAGCTTTCATTACAAGTTTCAGCAAACAACCAGCGTGTTTCTTGCTAACGTCTTGCTGGGTGCTTGTATGCTTTGTACCACCTTCTTTCGTAGATGCCAATGTTGGGTGGTTGTACTCATGGCAAATATTGTGGTATGTTTGTCTCATCATGGCGACTGGCAAATATCTATGTGAGGAGAGTGTCATGTTTCGGCCTATCACATATCTTGTCCTACAAAATATATATGTATAATATTTTATTTGAATTCCACATTTCAACAACAGCTGAAAGTTAGGTTTGGAGTAACATATGCATCATTTTATTATTTAATGGGGCGTTATTGTTGTTTAGCCTAGCTTCTAGGCCTACAGTATATCAATAATAATCTTATTGTTACAGGAATTGGTGTTGGCTCTGATGATATACTGTAGTGTTATAGCACATCACCTTTATTTAGACAGACATTTAGGCCTAGACAGTTTTTCATAGGACCAGGCCTATAGTATACTATTATTAGTAGGCCTTGGGGCCGGGTCTATTATTATGGAGAAAAAATGCACTAGCACAATTAATGTGACAAAGATGGCATGGCATGACAAGGCTAGGCTAGTAGTAGAAACCTACTATCTTTACCGTCAGCTGGATAAGGCTGCGTGCGAACTCACCTGCTGCGGGACTGGAGCAGTACTGTCCCGGACAGGAGTGCGCTACTGCTGCTGGGTAGACACTGACTGTGCTAATCCTAGGCATAGGTGTAGGCCTAATTATAAACAAACAAGTCAAGTCATCGGACTGATATACGTTTATTAATTCAATTGAATTATTCCTCCATGATTGAATTGACGTTGACTAAACCGTCTCTCTGTAACTGCGTACGTAAACGATCACAAAAACTCACGACTTCACACTAGTGTACTGTATCTAGGCTAGTCGATCGATCGTCGGGACGATTTTTCGATCAGCTGCTCGCCAAAAATTAATTGACAGACTTGTCTTGAATATTAATGAGTTGGTTAGAAAATGCTACCAAGCTACTGAAAAAAGTGATCAGCCTCGTTTTCAGGGTAATACGATACTTAAAAAGGAACCGTGACAATTTAGTATGAAGTGAACCCTCAGCCATCTTTGCAAGTCCATGTTTAACGGTTTGGACTGCTCTCTCGGCTAACCCATTAGATGATGGTTTGAAGGAGCACTAAACAAATGCTTAATCCCATTGCGCACAGTAAACTCTTTAAACTGGGCGCTAGTATAGGTTGGTCCGTTGTCACTCACTAACACTTTAGGAATACCTTGAGTGGCAAATACTCTTCTGAGCACCTCGATTGTGCACTCAGCAGTTAGAGAATTCATAATCACAGCATCGATCCACTTAGTATAATAATCGACAATAATCAAAAATGACTTCCCCATGTAAGGTCCCATGAAGTCTATGTGAACCCGAGACCACGGTTCTTTAGGGTACTCCCACATACATAAAGGTGTTTAGGGAGGTTTATTCCTGTTAACCTGACATTTGGTACATGTGCTAACACATTTTTCCAAGTGTTTGTCAATACATGGCCACCATACATATTGTCTACTAATGGACTTCATTAATGTAATTCCTGGGTGACAATCATGTAACTCTTTATTGATGAGATTGCGGCCCTTTGCAGGAACCACAATACGGGACCCCCACCAAATACACCCGTCATGTACACTTAAGTCGTCTTTACGTCTAATATAATGTTTAAACTCATCTTGTGAGTCAGGATCTGGGTTGGTCCAATTACCATACAATATGCAATGTCTAACATGTGACAAAATAGGATCTTTACCAGTCCACTTTCTGATGTCATCGGAATTTACTGGAGAGGGGGCGTTGTTGATGTGCTCCATCAACAAAACCACATCACCCGGCACGGGAATATGACCCTCAGTAATGGGTAAAGGTAATCTGCTTAAGCAGTTAGCTACCTCATTCTGGTTACCGGGACGATAATGCATGGTATAATTATACGCAGCCAAAGTCAAGGCCCATCTCTGTATCCTAGCAGAGGCCATTGACGGAATACCTTTACGTGCATTAAACAAGGATTGGAGTGGCTTATGATCTGACAACAACACAAAGTGCATCCCAAACAAGTATTGGTGAAATTTCTTTACACCGAAAACACAAGCAAGACCTTCTTTTTCAATCATGCTGTAGTTGCGCTCTGCTGCAGTCAGCGTGCGCGAAGCATATGCAATAGGCTTATCAACACCATCGATGCGGTGTGCCAACACAGCCGAAATACCATAGGCTGATGCGTCGCATAACAATCTAATTTCCTTAGATGGGTCGTAATGCACTAATATTTTGTCAGAACATAATAAATTCTTAGCCTCTGCGAAAGAAGCTTGCTCACTCTTTGACCAACTCCATTGAACACCTTTGCACAAGAGTTTATTTAATGGCTCTAGCACAGTTAACACATTAGGTAAAAATGCACAATAATAATTTAAGAGTCCAAGAAATGATTTCAACTGAGTCACGTCAGTCGGTGGTGGCGCATTCTTAATCGCTTGTACTTTCTCCTCGGTTGGACTTACTCATGTAGCAGTTACACGTTTTCCAAGGAATACCACCTCCGGTTGGTAGAAGGAACACTTCTCTTTCTTTAACCGCAAACCATATCTTGACAATCGACTCAAAACCTCATTTAGGTTATTCAGATGCTCCTCCTTCGAGCTACCGGTTAACAATATGTCATCAGATCGAACTACTGTGTGAGGTACTCCCTTTAACAAATTTTCGATCTGTCTCTGAAAAATTCCTGGGGCTGATTTGACCCCGAATGGTAAGCGTGCGTACATGAACAGTCCCTTTTGTGTGTTTATAGTTGTATATTTCATTTACTCTTCGTCCAAAAGCATTTGTTGGTACGCGTTTGCGAGATCCGGTTTGGTGAAGTACTTGCCTCCAGCCAAACATGCGAACAAGTCCTGCTCTTTAGGAATAGGATAATTGTCTAGTGTAGACTGCTTGTTCATTGTCAACTTATAATCACCACAACTTCTTACTGTCTCACCATCCGCTTTTAACACTGGAACTATGGGTGCTGCCCATTCTGACGTTTCCACATGTTTTACGACCCCGTTTCTTACATCACGCTCCAACGCTTCCTCAACTTTCTGGCGAAGCATGTACGGAACGGCTCTTGCCTTGTAATACAAGGGCGTGGCATCAGGGTTAACGTGGATCTTGGCTTTGGGTCCTGTATAGGTTCCCAGTCCATCCTTAAATACGTCCGGAAATTTATTAATAATGTTATTAATTTCCCCGTCACAATTATCAACAGTTATGTTCTTTAATTCTTGCCAATCAAGCTTGATATATTCCAAACAATTACGGCCAAACATTGCCGGTCCGCTGCCCTTTACAACTAGCAATTGAAGTTCATGCACAAAGTTTTTATACGAAACGCTCACGTTAGTCGTCCCAACAATGTCTACATTTCCATTCGTGTATGTGCGTCGTACAGTGTGGCTTTTTGCTAACGGTGGTTTATTGCCTTTCCATAAGTTGTTATAATGAGTTTCACTCATGATACTAATGCTTGCTCCCGTGTCAACCTCCATAGTGAGGGGCACTCCATTAAGTTTAACCTGGACTGTTATTGGTGCTACGCTACCCTTGCTCTCTATGTTAAATAATACTTCATCGTGTTCATACTGAGCTTGGTGCTGTTGCTGGCCCTGTGGCGCAGCTGTGTCAGTTACATAATTATTGACTTTGCCCTTCTTCCCATCCTTTTTCTGTTTGGGATTCTTACAAGCTTTACGCAAATGCCCTCGCTTACCACAGCCGTGGCACATCACCTCCTTGTGTTTACAATCTGGAGCGAGATGCGGGCCTAGACAAAGATAACATGTAGGTGTAGGCCTATCACTTGAAGTAGAATTATTGTTACTGACCTTTCTGTTGTTGTATCTGGATTGGGTATGTTGAACCTTGTTCACTGAAGTAGTCCCACCAATGTTAATATCTTTCACATTAGCGTCTGCTTCCAAAATGGCATTTTCAATTTCCACTGCCGTTTTAAAATTCAGCGTGGTTTCCGACAACATCTTCCATTGAATTCGGTTGTCGTTTATGCCGAGGACGAGCCTGTCCCTCAACATTTCCTCGAGCGTATCACCGAAACGACATGGTTCAGCTAACCTACGTAAACTAGCTACGTAGTTGCTCACTGATTGACCAGCCGGTCTAGTACACGAGTAGAACTTGAATCGACTTACGATTATACTTGATTTAGGCTCCGAATGACTCTTCAATAATTCAGTCAATTCGTTGTATGACTTATCTGTTACTTTAGCTGGTGCAAGCAAGTCTTTCATTAGACTGTATGTCCTCGAATTGCACACCGTGAGCAAGACAGCTCGTTTCTTGGCGTCGTCCTTTATTTCATTTGCGATGAAATACTGCTCGACCCTTTCGACGAAGTCTGTCCAATTTTCACCATCCTGGAATTCCCGAAGAACACCTAATTGTGCCATGACTCTCAGGAAGTTTCGCTGGTTGTAATTCAAGTATTTTTATCCTCGTCGCCACTGTAATAGCTTCGATGACTATTAAAAAGTAGAATGACTCTGGGAGTAAACTTCAACACGTCTACTTTATTTCAATACATAACACAGAGTAAATCCCGCCTCAAGCGGTAATACAAATGTAGTGTCGGCACGACGCACCTTGATACTACGCGCGCGCTATTATCCAGGGTATGGTTATTATGGTTACCAGTTCATGTAATAGTAAACAGTTTATGAATATCACAGTGACCCTCATTTTTTATTACTAGTTCTTAAAGCACATGAGTTAACGATCATAATGGCTGATCGGACATTGTGACGTCATCACATTGCCATCAGAAATTTAAAAAACATTGAATTTTTATCTAAGTATGATGTCATTTTTTAAAATACTCAATTGAGCGTATCTCACTTATCTTTAATCGATCGTATCCAAACTTTGAGTATTTTATAGCAATTCAATTCTCTTTCAAAAATGTGATTTTTCTTACATTATGACGTCATCATGGTCAAAATAAAAGTTTTTTCTGACCTCCCTTATCTTTCTTTTCTCAAGACAATGATGACCCTATAGCATCCTAACCAGTCATATTCAGTGGGCATAAACTTCAGGTCGCGTTTGAATATCATAGTATCGGTACGCGTGATCGAGAGCAAGGCAAAATAATCCCAAAAGATCCAAATATATAACTTCAATATAAATATTTAATAAAACGATGAGGAGTATAATGATTTTGGACCGATGTTGTTGTCACAAAAATCAACACTCAAAACTGACTATCCTAACTACTAAAGTAACTTATATACAGCAGGGGGACAGGAAGCAAGGGCTCATCAAGACATTCCTTACCAGTGATGTAGCATAAACATCCTGAGTGACTTTCCCAGTAAGGAATGCATGACTGACTTAAGTAGACCCAGGAGAGGGAGAGGGGTGAATGGCTTATGGGTCATGTCCAGTGGATAATATGTTACATTCCCCCGCTTGCCAATTCGAAGCCGTGTCTTCGAAACCAAACAATCATTAATCCCAAATTTCAACAGCATAATTAAACAGGGACCATCCGCAAAAGTAAACTTAACAAGCAATATAAAAAAAAATTACCTAAAATGAAAATGCAAAGATGATAAGAAAATATAAGCATATAACAGTAAATTCAGCAATCAAATTTAAGGTTTAGCAAAATCAAAGTTCAAAGTAAATATATAGAAATGTTCAGAAGTTCAAAATAAACGGAATAGTTGCATTGGTACAGTGCAGCATAGGCTTGCATACAATACAATACAAATATCTTTATTGCAATCATATAAAATATAGATTGAATTTACAATCAAAAATTAACAAAGTCATTAAACATTAAAAAAAACCAAGAGAATCGCAAAAACATCAAGAATTAGTTACAAAAGTCAAATACCAAATTTAAAATTTAAAATTTAAAGATATTGCACGGTTAAGCAAGAAAAAAAAACACCCCACATTAAAAATCCATTAAAAAAATTAAAAAAAAAAAAATTAAAAAAACACGATTAAAAATTAACCAAAAGAATTAGATCATCTACCAAGGCTAGCAAAAACAGAGCTACTGCAAAACAACCAGGAATCTACCTGGGGCCTTCTATGGGGAGGCTGATGCTAGGGCCTACCCAGCCTCCCATGGTGACCACTGTGATGGAGTACAAAGACCACCGACTGAATCACCATTCATAAGATAATCCATGATTTATAATGAATTGTTTAAATCTATTGGTACGCATGTGTGGTATGGAAAATGTTTTATTGTGTCTTAGGTTGTATTTGTGTTCAATTGGTGGTGGGAGAAGGTAGTTCAGTCGGTGCTCATTGGATTCAAGTTTAGTAAAATACCTCCTACTCATCTCCAGCAGTCGGTCCCGAAGGCGGGGCAGGTCCAGAGCAATTTGTGCGTCTCCATAGGAGACTCCAGGTAATATTCAGCCCAGAGCTCGTTTTTGTATTTTTTCGAGAGCATCTTTTTGGGTTTGAGTCAGACCAGTATACCAAAGAGGGCAAGCATACTCAATTACCGATCTTATGATAGCACAAAAGAAGTACCTTAGGGCATTTAATTCTAATCCTGCCCTACTTAGTTGCTTTAAGAAGTAAATTCTTGTATTACATTTCTTACATATATAATCAATATGACTTTGCCAAGATAAATTATCTTTGATAATGACACCCAGAATGTAATGACCATTCATAAATGTCATTACACGCTATTTGCATATTGCTGCAATTAAAGGAGGATATTGTTTTGGAAGCTGTTGTGTCATCCATATATTTGACTACAGGCAAGTTGATATTAAGGCTGTTTATGAATATCAGAAACAGAACAGGTCCTAACCAAGACCCTTGTGGGACGCCATCGTTGGGAGATAGCCAGGATGATAGGTGATTCCCTATTTTAACTTGCTAAAGACGATTACTTAAAAATGATCTAATCCAGTTCACAAGAATATCATCCACATTTAGATCTCTAAGTTTCTGTATTATGCGGTCATTATCAATCAGGTCAAATGCCTTTTTATAGTCTAATAGAAGAACCCTGACCTCCTTTCCTATGTCAGTTTCATTAAACCATTGGATCATAGTAGTTACTAGGGCATCAACAGTAGATAGACCTTTACAACAGCCAAATTGATTGGGATCAATCTGGTCTTCAACGCAATTCCATGATAATTTCCCTATTAAACTTTCAACACTCTTACCACATACCGAGGTAAGAGAAATAGGCCTTAAATCGGTTTCTATACAAGTAGGGGAGCTTTTTTAGGGATGGGGATAATGACTGCACTTTCCAAGCAGACGGGACATAGCCTTCTCTTAAAGATGAGTTGGCTATGGCACACAAGGGAGGGGAAATAATCTCTGCATACTATTTGAGAACCCATGTAGGTATACTATCTGGTCCCGGGGCTTTATTAACTTTAAGTGCTCGAAGCTTGGAGAGTATCATGTCAATATTAATAATCATACTATCAGGGACATCATTAAAATTAACATTTTCAGGTATTGAAACCGGTTAGAATACATCAGTAAGTGATTTGAAGAAATATTGATTTTGTTAGCCAGTAAACATCCATCACCATCACAAACATTGTTGATGAGATAATTAAGTGGGTTACATTTTTTACCTTTATTTATAATGTTTTTGGTTTTACGCCACCAGCTTCTTGAATCAGCATTATAAAGTTGGGAGACTTCTCGTTCGTAGTATCGTTTTTTGAGGGTTTTTTTTGTGGATCTGTTAACAATATTGCGTATGAGGTTGTAGGTTTCTACATTCCCTTTCCTGAATTCAGATTGACGCTTACGTATGAGGCATTTGTATTCACTGGTGACCCAAGGTTTATCAATGTTATTTTCTTGTATTCCTTAAGTGGGAAAAAGCGATCAATTAGTTTGCATAGACTATCCATGAAGAACCGAAATTGGTGTTCACACCTGTCAGCAGAAAACAGATCATGCCGTCTGATTCCATTTAACTCTTCAGAAAAAAGAGATTAAGATTGGTCATTTACGACTCGTTTAGTAAATGTATGAACAGCCACAGGATCAGATATAACAACAGTTTTAGGTTTGCAAATAACAACTTGATGGTCCGATAGGCCAAGTGCTGGCTCAATAAATGGAATATTATAGTATTTTTCCATATTAGAATACATCAGGTCCAATGAAGCTTGTGCACGAGTGTAAACTGTTACTAGTTGTTCATGCTGTTACTATCCCATTTACCAGCAAACCCTTTAAAGGGGCATTCAGGCGGGTTGGTGAACCAGGTTTTGCCAGAATCTTATCTCAATAATCCAATTAAACATCAAAGAAGAATACATCTACTTAAGAGTCATTATTACAGCAGGCATTGCTGTTTCTCAATAAATTACCAGTGTAGTATTTAAAAACCAGGCTGGAAAATTTTAAAAACCTGTTGTTCAAAATAATTTGGCATTTTTATTACCTTAGCTATAATTTCCGATAAAAATCATAATAGATATGCTTTTGAATTTTAAAAATCAATGACTTATGTTAGAAGTTACAACATGGTTTTTTTTATTTAATTGTGCTAGTCTTCTTTGAACTATTCATAACAAATGAGCCTCACTGTTAATCTTGTTACAAAATTCTCTGAAGCAGTAATTAATAGAGATAAGAAGAGATCGGCAAAACTTTGTTCAAAAATGTAAAATTTGGTAAATGGTGAAGTTTCCTCATGTTGAGTGGGTATTGTTTGATTCGTTGATCCTTTATCCTATTGAAATCTCCGGCTAGAAAAAAAAACAGTGTCAGGGTGCTTTTGACGGATATGATCCAAAGTTTGAATAATATGCTCCTCTGTTACGTGGTCATTGGTATTTGGTGGGTGATATAGTGCTTCAATTGATATATTGGCGATTGCTCTTGGGAGGCATTTAGGTCTCAGTGTGACCCAAATGCTTTCATGGCTGTTGTCTCTAAAAACATCCCAGAGTTCAAAAGGGATGTTGTCTTTGATGTACATCATAACTCCTCCATGGGGGCGGTCTAAACGATCCGCTCGTATGATAGTATAGCCGTTAATAGCGACAAGACAATCATCAATGTGGGGTTTCAGAAACCAGAAACGTTTCGATAACTATAATGATTTCTGGGTGGGTTTCTCTGAGTTCATCCATTTTATTCATGATGGATCTGGCATTGTGTACAACAAAAGCGGGCAAAGTCCACCTGTTAAACAGAGTTACTAAGTTGGTAAGTGACACTGACCTGTGTTTCCGATGTTCACTTGGCACAATATTCCTGTTACTAGAACAGATAGTTAATATTTTTCTGCGTTTCTTTCTCCCCCTCCCCCTCTCGACACCTTCTAGGCCTATGCTGATCACATAATATACATTCCTATGTGGTTTATGGCGTTTTCGCTTACACTGTATAAGTTCTTTTCGAGAATAGCGAATAAGAGAGCAAACTATTG